TGTATATATATATATATATACATATATATATATATATGTATATATATATATACATATATATACATATATACATATATATTATTATATATATTATTATATATTTACACTGACCCTTATATACATACAACTTTGAGCATCTATGGTACTGTTCTGCTATAGATATTGATTTCTTTCCACACCCATGTAATGGAAGCTTTTTTTCCTCTAGATAACAGGCATTCTGGAGAACAGTAGGGCTTCGTGCAACAGCACTTTACAATGCCGGCCTATATTTGCACCCAACCAAAGGCTTAACAGAACACAAAGTAAGCGTAGGGTTATTTCGGTTTGATGCCGAGAACATGTTTTTTTTTTTTTTATATCAATTCAGATAATTGTAATGTTGATGATTATAACCAGGTCGACCAGGTCGCATCCAACCCAAAACATGGAAGATGGACTAAGTCAGCGTTACCTGCTACTTGATGGAAACACATATTAGTATGTGTCTTCTATTCCATTTAAAATGTCCATACATATACACGCTATACCCACTACATAGTTTATTCATGCAAATAATACGGGCTTTTTTTTGTTATCTGTATTGGTTTTTTTTTTTTGTAATTTTGTAGGGGTCGATAAACCTCGTTGTGTGTGCGGGGGTGTGTTGTGTCACAATGACAAATAATAATTCACTTTCATCTAAAACCTCAGAGATACGGCGTGAAAATAAATTGATGTAAATCCAAATTAATTAGTGCTGTTAGCATAGCATTCGGGGAGGAGCATTTGTGTGAAGTTTCTAACGTTTCTTCTATTAAATGGTCATTAAATGACAGAGCAGCACCTAAAAAAAAAAAAACAACAACTTTGACCCATCTGTGCGCCTTGACCCCATCTTTAAAAAAAGCCATATAAGCTAGTTATTATTCTGTACTGGCTTTAATGCCTTATGCGATGTAATACTCGTGGTCTGTGTATACTTTGAAAAAAAAAATCGGTCAAATTGCCCAAGGTCTTACACAATTGTGTATAATAAATGGAAATATAGTGACATATAATTCGCTTTTTTTTTTTGGAGAACGCAAACCACTTGGTCATAACAACGACACACCCTCTGAAAGCCTCCCCGCCCCCAGCAGCTACACACCACCGCCTCGAAAATCGAAATGAACCCCCCGCTCCACTGCAACCATGTCCGCCACAGCCCGGAGCCGCAGTACGGGCTCGCCCCCGGGGGAGGAAAAAAACGAGAAAGAAGGGAAAAGAGACCATACGGTGTTCGTTAGAGCGTTTTCACAGCATCCATTTTCGACTCCATCATCGTTTGCCGTCGCTGAGGGTCTCGCACAACCACGGCTATCGTTACGACGCCGCAGACACGACAGAGAATACCGCTAATTTAACCCCCATTTTGAGCGACTTAAAAAAAAAAAAAACCGGCTCTTACCTGAACATAATTGTTTTCACAGTACTCCGCGACCTTAGCCAGGTTCTGATAGCTTTCCACCAGCGCTCTCTTACCGACAGGGATTTCTTCCTCTAGTAGCATTTGTAGCTCTGCCATCTTACATCTCTTAGCATTTCTCCCTGTGCCTCACTGTGTCTGTCTCTCACTATGGCAGTGATGCTGTTGCCTGTTACTACTGTTGAAAAC